TTCAACTGTTTGAAAGTTTCATAGTACATTATCTCACATGAGTTTCCTTGGTCAATAAAAATTCGCCTGACGTCGTAATCCTTGATGCGGAGAGTGACGACTAGTGCATCGTTGTGAGGGCAATATATCCTTTCTAAGTCCTTGTCTGAAAAAGACATGACGTTCGTGGCCTCTGTTTTTTTCCTTTTAATGGTGAGCTGCGCACTTAATACCTTCCTTAAGTGCTCAGCCTTCTTTATCATGCTCCTGAGCTCACATACTCGCTCAGGCTCGAATACCCCATGTATTACGTTTATTACACCTTGAGGTGGGCGTCGGTCGGTGTTCCGTCTGGGTGGTCGTGGTTTTGGGGGACTGGCTGCGTCCCTTATTCTATGTACCGGTCTAGGTGACCAGCTGTCACTAATTCCTCCAGATGCTGTCTCAACGGCTTGCAGTTTTCAGTGCAGTGCCCCTTTTCCTTATGGAAAGTGCACCGAGATCTTTCGTCGTAGTCCTTCTGTGCTTCTCCCAATTTAGTTGGCCATTTGACGAAAGGTTCATCGCGTATCTCACTGAGAATTTGGTAGATTGGTTTCTTGAATACCGTAGTAATGGCAGTGCAGACTCTCAACCATCTTTTATCTCGGTCTTCTTCGTTGTCTCGCCTGCCTCGTCCATTCTTGCTTTGACGTTCTACTGTATTGACCTTTGCCGTAGTCTTCTTTTCTGGTATTGCTGTCGCACCAGATTTTGCCTTGACACGGGCACCATCCTCCTCTACCCGAATATGTTGGTGCACTCTCTCCATCAAGGCCTCCATCGTGAGGGGTGGAGTCATTGTAATCGAATCATTCAATCTGTTTCCGACTAGAAGTCCTCTTTTGTATTGTGCGATGGCGAGATTGGTGGGGCAGTCCCCTATTTGGTTGAACGTCTCCCAGTAGCGACCGTTGTAGGACCTCAATGTTTCTTTGTCGCCCATGTCAATGGAGAGTAGCTGATCAATCTCCACTGGCGTCTTGGTGTTCGTTCTGAATCTTGTCACGAACGCCTCCGCTAATTGCGCCCAGGAGGCTATGCTGCCTTCTGGTAGCCTTTTGAACCAGGTTAAACCTAGGTCGCCAAGGCTAGATGGGAATATGATGCACATCAAAGCTTTGTTTCGCCGGTACACTGCTATAACCTGGCGAAAGTGGCTTAGGTGCATGTAAGGGTCTGTCTTCCCTTTGTACGTGGTAAATTTAGGCTGGATGAAGCCTGAAGGTAATGGTGCGTTCTCAATCGCCAGAACGAACGGCGAGCTATGTAGTCTTGCCAATGCTTTATCTGTTGGTTTGTAGGCAAGGCGCGGTATTGGCATTCCAACCTTGACGCTTCCATGCGTCCGAGGAGCCAACCGCTGAAGGGCTGAAATTCTGTGCGGGTCGCGTGCCCTGGCATCCTCCTTCTGTCGCGCCATTTCTTCAAGCACTGTCCGTAAATCGGACAATCTAGGCAACTCCGTTTGCCTAGATAATGTCTGATGCGTATATGAGGGCCGATAGGTACTTCCCTCAGTGTAAGACCTCAATGATCTCGTTCTCTCAGACCTTGAGTAACGAGTTCTGGAAATCCTTGATTGAGTGTCGCATGTCCTGAGGCTTTTACTTTCTGTTTGCGATGGCGTGGTATGCCTACCACGATCTTCTGAGTGGCGAGGAGGAGTATTACCCTTGCGCCCCTCTCTTGTCGCCACCCATTTTCCCCTGATCTGGTGCTTCATGGCCTCCATGTCTGCCGCCATCTTCCTTATTAGTTCATCTTGCTCTTTTACGCGATCCTCCAGAGCTTGAGGGTCGATTCTTCGCCTTTGCCTTTTAGGACTTTGTGAGTGAGAGCGACGGGGGCTGTTGTTCTGCCTCCCCCTTGCATCCCTCCGGGGATTCTGTTGTTGGGGCTCTAAGTCCGCCATGGGAGGGATAGAGGGCAATCCTTCGCGCCTCCCACCCCCCTTTGGGGTTTGTCCGTCGATGGCGGACTGTGGCAAATCTTTGTTGTGTGCCATTCAACTAGCGAGGGAAACTTGATCAAGAGGTTTTGTTCTTTGTCTGATTTTTCCACAGACGGCGCCAATTGTACGGGAAAGAAATAAACCTTCTCGTATAATCCTGTTGATTAAGTCCGCGCTCCTCCAAACGTCGTCGCTTTATTCTCTGAAAACACAAACGTGAGCTAGCCGGCGGGTGTGTGCCGGATACCTCTCCGATGCCTAAGTCAGCAAAATAGACAAATAGACAAAAAGTTCTGCGTGTTCGGGAATCAAGGTTGTGTTACCTCTCCATAGGTGATGTTATGAGCTTTTATAGGTTTCGCGTGGCACAATCCAAGTAGGACTCTTACTCCTCCATGTAGAGTCCTCATAGGAGTCATACTTATGAAAGATAATGTCTATCCTTCAACGCTCCCCTCACTACTTAAACCAAGTGAGATGGTTTTACCATGGTCGGAACCCAATATAACTGAGGTAAGGATGGCTATGCTAAGTCACAGAGTAGACCGAACTAAAGCCAATTCGGTTTCTTCCATTCATTACTCTTACCTCGGCTTCTCCTCTATAAACCATGATGTGTTTAGACCGAGTTAAAAAATAGCAAGGTTTTGACCGAGCTAATCGCAACATGCCACGACCAGGCTAACTCTGAGTGTGGTGAACGAGTTGTCTGTAACACTCTCTTGGACCGGATAACAACAAGGCCTTTTCGGGGACCGGGCTAACGCCAAGGTCCTTTTTACTCCGCCCTTCTTACTGTGGCCCACAACGGCTCATTACCCAGTTCAGCCCAATTTATATATAAATTACCCTCTCAGATATCAACATTAAGACTTGGTTCGGTTTAATGTATATCAATATTAAATAGTATTGTGTAGTTACTGCATATAAATATTAAATATAAGGGTATAAAAGTTTAAGAAAATAATGTAAATCAAGAAAAATGACCTTATGGAATAAAGGTATAAATACATAGGGCTAAGTGAGTTATGAATTTCTTTTATGGACTTCTTAACCTACAACACTCTTAAATAGGATTTAGCAATAAAAACCCCAGTATAAAAATTTCACTAAAAATAAAAGCTCATCTAAAAATTATTTTTAAAAGATCAAAATGAGCGTTCTCTGCTTATATCAATTTAACTAGATCAAAAGAAACTTTCTCTACTTATATCAATTTAACTAAATAAATCTCATTTAATATTTTTTTTAAATTTTTTTTTTAAAAACCACAAACAGCAACCTTAATACAAAATTCCCACAATTTAACTTGACATAAAAGGCTTATTTTGGAAGTAAGGTTAAAAATTAATTTATTGACTTTTTAAAATTTTAGATTATATTACTTTTCTATTTTTTTTTAAAAAGTAAAAAAAATTATTTTTTTATTTAATTTTTCAAAACAAGTCAAAATATTTATAATTGTTAAATAAAAAAAATAACATAGTTTATTTTAGAGAAATTATTAATGGGCCCAAAGACAACGTCACGGTTGTGACGCTCTATATATATTATAATTAATAAAATAATAAAATTTATAATTTTATACTGAATAATTAAAAAATAAGAAGGAATATAGGGTTTGCGATTGACTGTCATGACTCACGGTGGCAGAAGACTAACCAATATTTTTTCTTCAACTTGACATTGGCCCTGTTTGGTACAGTTTAATTTCAGCTTTCAGCTTAATTTAAGCTATTTTGATGTGTTTGGTTTAACTTATAGCTTATAACTTATAGCTTTGTGGAAGTCAGAAAACAGCTTATTCTTTGAGTGGGGTAGGAGATGCTTTAAGAATAAGCTGGAAATCAGCTTAAGCTGAAAGTTATAAGCTATAAGCTGTTTAGGCATAAGCTATAAGCACTTTTCCACAGCTCTACCAAACAGGGCCATTACCAATAATTGCTTCAAAAATGTTAGGTCTCGTTTGGCAAGAGTTTATTTTAATAATTTTTTAATTTTTTATAAAAAAATATGTAAAAAAATAAAGAAATAATGTGATAATTTTTAATGACTTTTTAATTTTTTGACTAAAATAATTACTCCCCAAACGAGGCCGTAGAGGGCGCATAAATTTTACCAAATATTTTGCTTGTGTGTGAGAGATACACATAGAATTCACATGGTGAATGTGAGGCCTTTGGTAATTTTTTTTAAAATTTCTAATATTACTCTAATTACTTTGGTAAATATTATTAAAAAATGTTATAAACTTTAAATAAATTATTAAATTTTTTATTAGATCTCTCACATAAGTGTAGAATCTACACAAATTATATATGTATAGATTCTATGCTTACGCAAAAAATTTGATATAAAATTTAGCCTCCGTTTGGGAAGTGGATTGACTTTTTGATTTTTTTGGCTATTTTAGGTTAGGCTAAAAAGCTTGGTTTGTAAAAGACTTTTTGACTTTTTGACTTTGTTTGTGAGAAAAAAGTATAATGATTATGGGTTGGATGTGATGTTTTGTTTGTTATGATTAAAATAACCTATTTTGTTTTTTGTGATTATTTTAGCCCCAAAATCACTTGCCAAACACCACCTTAGTACTCTCTTTGTTCGAAAATAATGTGTTGTTTTGAAAAGTTAGTAAAAAGTTGATTTTTTGACTTTTTTTTAGCTTATTTTGTCTTTTTGTGAATAAAAAATGTGAGAAGTGATGTGACAAAAAATAAATAAAAAACTAAAAGTTAACATTTTTTTTTGCTTTCCAAAAGACCCCGATAATATCTTTTAGGGAATCTAACTTTTTTTGATAGTATAATTATTATACTTTAAAAAATTAAAAATTTTAAAATTACCTTTTGATAGTATATTTTTTTAAGAATATTAATGTCATAATTGTACTTTTTATGTTATTAATAAATTTAAACGAAAGATAAAATAAAATATATATTATTTTTATATTTAATTTTTTCTTAAAAATTATTTAAGATAATAAAAAATAAAATAAGAATCTTATATATTAAAACGGAAAAGTAATTTATTTGGAGTACAAGACAATATTCTTTTCTTCTTTTTGTTGACTTGACAATCTACAACACTGAGCCGCTCTCTCTCTTCTCTTCGCGACACTGCAATTGCTCTCTCTCTCCCTACCCTGATTTTGTAATCACAAATGGACAGAAACAGAGACGACCGCTACGACAACAACTCAGATTCACGCCACCTCGGGCCCTCTAGAGCCCCTCTTCGCTCCTCCACCGATGCCCCCATCAACCACCGCCGCCGCCGTAGCCCTGACCACCACCACCACCATCCTCGTCCTTTCGAAAGCCCTCCCTCCGGCGGCAATGGTGGAGGATTCCGTCCAACAGGTGGTGGCGGGTTTAATTCCAATCACCAAATTCCTCTCTCTGGCCAGAAACGAGGGTTCCCCTTCTCTGCCCGAGGTGCCTCTCCAGGTATTATTTGCTTCTTGTATTTGTGATAGATCGGTCCTATTTATCTGATAGTCTTGCAGCCAAACATCGATTGATTGCTTCTTTGTTTCTATTATTGGGTGTTGTTCATTCACACCTTCATAGGTCCATATAATACAAATATTGTTCTTTTTTATATTTTCTTGTTGTTCTTACAAGAGAGAGAGAGAGTAGAAACAAAGGGTACGCTGAGCTGGAATTCTTTATTATAAAGGAAAGGCAATAATGCCCGAGGCCCTGCTATCCCGATAGGCGGGCGGGCAAAACAAGGTGTAGCCAACTATGGATTTCCTGCGAGTGATGTTAAACTGCCTGGATTTTGAAAAAAATAAAATAAAAAATGAGCTCGGCCGACAATTGCTCATAAACTAAAGTAAAAAAGGAGTGCAAGAAAGGAGAACCGATAATCTGGCCAGACCACATTGTAGTTTTGGTAATTTTTTGCATTTAGAAGGGGTTGAATTTGTTATGTAATTTCTTTTCTGCTACCTCTATTTGTTGGCTGCAGCGTAATTTTGGATATTTACCCCTTGCGAGCCACCTTTAGTATTCATCACTGATGCCCCCTTAAGCTATTGTTTTGATATGTTCATAAGTGCTGCTTCGTTTTCCTTGCATACAAGTTTGTTGACACACTGCTAGTATTTCTTTTAATGTAAGATTATTATTATTGTTTTTCCCATTTCAGATCGTTCTGATGTTGGCAATTTTGCCAAACTTTTTGTTGGATCCGTTCCAAGGACAGCCACTGAAGAAGATGTAAGCTGTTTATTTCATCAAGCTGTTGCCATACATGAGATGTATTGATTAAAATATTAGTCTGTTCAGAGAATCATACAGTTGCGTATTTGGGTTATTTTTGTGCTTCACTTGGATTGTCATCGTGTCTAATTTTTTTTACGCTGTGTTAGGTTGGGGGATTTGAGAAGGAATTTGAAAAGGGAAATGAAAAAGATAGGTGAAATGTGAATATAATATACTTACATTTCAAATAGTTTCACACAACTTTTCTCTTTTATTTTCTAAATCCCTCAACCAAACACAGTTTTAGGAAATATGTCAACATTGATGCCTCAGATATGTATGTTTTAGATTTGCATTAATGTTATTATCTATTTTTAGTCTAATTTGTGTTTTCTTTAATGTTGTTCGTCTTTCGCTTCACACATGTGCACTTACACACAGATATATGAAGATTTTAGAAAAGAGAAAGAGTGAGGGAATGAGTGAAACCTCATCCCTTTTTATATTAAGAATAAAGCATAATTACAAAAGTGCCATAAGGCATGAATTATGGGCCAGCTCATTACAACCCATCACGTCAAATCAGAATAAAATATGTGAGTAGAATTTTCTATTCTAACAACATAATTTTCTATTCTAACACTCCCTCTCAAGCTGGTTTGTGGTGCGAAGATATATCTCATGCCCAACTTGTTGAGAATGTTATAAAATGGTTTGCTCCCTATTCCTTTGGTGAGAACATTTGCTAGTTGGTCCCCAGTCTTCACAAATGGAGTACATATGGTGCCACTAGTGAGGTTTTCCTTGATGAAGTGCCTATCAATCTCCACATGCTTGGTTTTTTCATGTTGAACTGGATTAAGAGCTATGTTGATCGCCGTCTTGTTGTCACAGTACAACCTCATGGAATCGGTCTGATGGATCCCCAAGTCTTCTAATAATAATTGAATCCATAGCAACTCACATACACCCTGAGCCATAGTCCTAAATTCTACCTCAACACTAGATCTAGCAACCACATTCTGTTTCTTACTTCGCCATGTGACTAGGTTGCCTCCAACAAATGTACAATATCCAGAAGTTGACTGTCTGTCAGTGACTGATCCAGTCCAATCCACATCAATAAATGTTTCCACACCGAGATGTTCATGCTTTGAGAAATAGAGACCCTTTCTAGGAGAAGACTTTAGGTACCTCAGGATTCTTATAACGGCCTCTAAGTGTGAAGTTCTAGGAGCATGCATAAACTGGCTAACTATGGTCATTGCAATGGCAATGTCTGGATGTGAGTGGGATAAGTATATGAGTTTACCCACTAGCCTCTGATATCTCTCCCTGTCCACTGGCTCTCCCTCTTGATCCTCACTTAGTTTTTGACCCGGTTTTAGAGGTGTATCGCATGGTCTACCTCTAAGCATCCTAGTTTCCTTTAACAAGTCAAGTATATACTTTTTTTGACATATGAAGATACCATCCTTGGACCTACCTACTTCAATGCCCAAGAAATATTTCAAAGTACCCAAGTCTTTGATTTCAAACGCCTTGGCCAAGTATTTCTTCAACTGAGGGATCTCCTCAACGTCATCCCCCTTGTCAGAACAATATCATCAATATAAATAATAAGAGCTGTGGTCTTACCATGTGAGGAGTGTTTCACAAATAAGGTGTGATCAGCTTGACTTTGCTTGAACCCATATCTCAGCATAGTTTGAGAAATCTTTCAAACCAAGCCCTAGGAGATTGCTTTAGCACATAAAGTGACTTCCGGAGTCTGTAGACTTTACCTTTGGACTTAGCATCTGCAAAATCAGGGAGAATATCCATATAGACCTCTTCTGTTGGGTCTCCATGAAGGAAGGCATTCTTCATATCAAACTGATGAAGTGGCTAATCCAAATTTGCTGCAAAAGAGAGTAGTATTCTCACAGAGTTCATCCGCGCCACCGGTGCAAATGTCTTCTAGTAACCTGCCCCATAAGTCTGAGTGAAGCCCTTAGCAACCAGTCTTGCTTTGTACCATTCTATGGAACCATCGGTTTTGTGTTTTACAGTGTACACCCAATTGGATTTTTGCCTCTAGGTAACTCCACTAACTCCTAAGTGCCATTCTTATTGAGAACTCTCATCTCCTCCATCATGGCATGTTTCCATTTAGGAATAGAGAGAGCATCCTGAAAATTGGTAGGTAGACTCACAGAAAAAATCTTAGACAGAAAGGCTTTATGTGAGGAAGACAGATTAGAATAAGAGATATGATTAGTAATTAGATACTGAGTACATGACCTAATCCCCTTTCTATTAGCAATGGGAACATCAAGATCTGAGAACTCAGGAATAGGAGCATTAGGATCAGAATTACCTAGGTTTTTAGGAGAGAAGGATGACTCTGGACACTCATTCGGAGAAGAAGTTAGAGGAAGGAAAGTAGTCTCTTGCATCCAGGTGACTTTCTATCTATCCTTGTCCCTGACATAAACTTTGTTTACTTCCTCTTCCACAACAACTGTTGGTTCATTATCCGCAATATGTTCAACCATTGGCGGTAGTGGAACAATCTCTTTACACCAAGGCTCCCCCCGAAAGAATGATTGTGACACTGGGGAGGAGAGAAAGACTTAGACTCAAAAAAGGTGACATCCAAGGTGACAAATCATTTGTGAGTGGGAGGATGATAACACTTATAACCCTTTTGGGTTACAAAATAATCCAGAACAATACACTTAAGAAACCTAGGATCCAATTTACCACGAGTGGGTGAATGATTATGGACAAAGCAAACACATGCAAAGGTCTTAGGAGAAATGGAGAACCCGGAAGAGGTAGACCCAAGCAAAACTTGAAGAGGTATCTGCAAGGTTGTTAAAATCGGGATCGTAAGTAGGATCGGTGAGAGAGTCTGGTGGATCGGATCGTAGGATTGGATCGAGGATCGTAAGATCCTACTTTCTATTAAAAAAAAAAGATAAAAGTAAAAATTAAAATGATACATATTAAAAATAAGGTGAAAAATCATAAAATCTACGATCCTACTTGCGATCTTACCTACGATCCTATACGATCCTACACGATCCCATGCGATCCTACACGATCCTACTTGCGATCCTGTTATAACATCGATCCTACAACGATCTGGATCGTTTTGGCAAAGTAGGATCATAGGATCGTACGATCCTACAATCCAGATCGCGATTTTAACAACCATGGGTATCTGTTTGTGAAGGACTTGGATAGGAAAACGATTAATCAAATAAGCGGCAGTGAGAATTGCTTCCCCCCAATAGGATCGAGGAACCTGTATCTCAAAGGATAGACAATGGGCCATATCAAGGAGATGGTGATTTTTTCGTCTTGCAATACCATTTTGTTGAGGGGTATTAATGCATGAAGTTTGGTGAATAATGCCATGAGTGGCGAAATAATTAGCAAGACCAAAGTCGATATATTCCTTCCATTATTAGAATGCAGAGTTTGGACAACTGCCCCAAACTGAGTATAAATCATTTTATGGAAGTTTTAAAACACAGAAAACACCTTACTTTTATCTTTCATCAGATATACCCAAGTGGCCTTGGAATAGTCATCGATGAAAGTAACAAATCATTTTTGATGTTTTAAAGACACAAAACATGATGAATCTCATACATCAGAATGAATTAAAGAAAATGGAATTGAACTTTTATTAATAGACGGAGCAAAAGAGGCGCGGTGTTGTTTTTCAAGTTGACACGACTCACATTGAAGATCAGATACATTATTTTTTTTTAAAAACAGAAGGAAATAAATGTTTAAGTAATAAAAATGAGGGATATCCTAAGCGACGGTACCATAGCCAATGTCTTCCTTGGTGGATGGTAACTGGATAGATGAATGAGCCATCATATCTGTCTGATCCAGAATGTAAAGACCATGTTTCTCTCTACCATTGCCAATCCTCTTTCTCGTGATAAGGTCCTGAAGAAAATAATGATCAGGAAAAATGGTCATGCTATAATTTAAATTACGAGTAATACGACTCAAAGATAAAAAATTAACACTAAAATTGGAAACATGGAGTACAGAGGACAAAGGAAGGGAAAAGATGGCATGAATTAAATCTTTCCTTGACACAAATGAAATAGTACCATCAGCAATACGTACTTTTTCTTGACCTGAGGAGGGTTATACTTTGAGAATAAATTAGAGCAGCCAAACATATGGTCGGAAGCACCAGAATCAATAATCCATGGTACAGTCGTATGAGATAGCAATGCACATGGGGATGAAGCCAAGTTACCTGAATTGGCAAAGTAAGAAGATGGTGTACCTGTGGCACAAGTGGAGGCGCGACGGTCTAGCAAGTGGCGAAGAACAATCTCAAGATTCGAGGCAGATAACCCCGAAACATCAGCAGCAGGGGAGACAATTGGAAATGAAGATGGTGGCTCAACAGTGTCTGAAAGATGTGCCCAAGCATTGGCTCCTTCGGCCTCTAGACTGACTAGATCTACCCCCCTCAAGTACTAGGATAGTCTCCCCGGTCAGCAGAGGGAGTCCCATGCAGTTTCCAACAAGTCTCTCGTGTGTGTCGAGGTCGACGACAGTAGTCACAGAAAAGATTATCCTTCTCAGAGAAAGGACGAGAACCACAACTATCGTGACGAGGTGTAGAAACCAAGATCCAGCGATCAGTAATAGCAGAAGGAAGCATTGTAGAGCGGCAACTCTTCTCATTTTGCACAAAAGCAAAGGCTTCCTGAAGAGAAGGAAGCACATCCATGCCAAGTACTCTGCTCCGAATTGGATCATACTCCATATTTAGGCCTTCCAAGAACTTGAAGACCCGCTCTTGCGCCACAAACTTCCGGTAACTAGCAGAATCAGTGGGACAGATAGGCTTGTAATCCTAAAGGTGATCAAGCCGCTTCCACCCATTGCTAAGGAAGGTAAAATACTGGAGGATAGTCATCTCACCTTGTACTGACCTTTCAATGGAGCGATGTAACTCGAAAGCCTATGAGAAGTTCCTTTTCCTGGAGTAAGTAGTAGCTACAACCTTCTAAATATCTTGGTGCCTGTATTCTCTCCAATCTCAAGTACCATAGAATGTATCAATCAATCCATGATTAGGGAGTTGGTGATCTCCCACGGGTCATAACTAGGATCCGTGGTACTGGGTGCCTGTATTCTTCCATCAACATACCCCATCTTCCCTCTGCTCTTCAAAAAAATAGTCAGACTTTGCGACCAGGCTAGATAATTCTGACCATTGAATAGAGAGGTGGTGACCTTAAGGCTAGGGTTGAGGTTAGTCATAGTAGGAGGTATAATGGAACTCTTTCTCTTCTCTAAAATCTTCATGGTATCAGAGCCATTCAGACCCTAGCTGCCCTATTCCGGCCATACACAACAGCTATACCCAACCACATTCTTTTGACACACTAAAGCCTCTTTTCTCTTCTCCAACAGCCTCTTTTCTTCACCCTCTCACACCGACAGTCAACCTAGCCCAGACCAGGCCTCTCGAAATCCCTTGCCCAGGCAGTCCTCTTGGGTTACTCGACACCTTATTAGGGTGAGTCGGCAGCCCCTCTGGTCCTCTAGGCCTATGTTGGCTTGCTCTCTTGCATCCAGGGCTCTTGTCGGCAAGCCTCCAGGACTCTCCACCTTTGATGACAGTCTCTCTGGCCCTGTTGGCTTGATCTCCTGCATCCAGGTATCCTATCGGCAAGTCTCTGTCTCTCTCCTGTAATGTTTTCAACCTAAAATACAAAAAAAACACAAAAAGGAGAAAGAGTTAGGGAATGAGTGAAATCTCATCCCCTTTTATATTAAGAATAAAGCATAGGAGTGCCATAAAATTTTTTAAAAGGCTTTATTGAGGCTCACCTCGAAGCGCGGCTAAGGTAAAGCGCATCAAGCCCTTGATTTTTAGGTTGCACCTCTCGAAGGGTTGCACATCACAGTTTAAGGCATTCGCCTTATGTGTGCCTTGTATACCTTTTGCACATAAGCATATGAGGAGTACACATATGAAGAACTTGTCTTAGGCTATTGTTAAATTTAGTCTAGTAGATGGGTTAAACATAAAAAAGAAAAAATTAAAGAAAACCCCTTTCGCAACTATATTTTGCTAAATCTAAGAATATCAATTTCAATGAGGGCAAACTTCCATCTCCACAGTGAAATGTTGGATGCCTTGAGGAGAAAAGTATTTGCACTTTATATTTAGCTTTATTTAATTTTTACTATTTTAAAATATTTAATTTATTTACTAAATATAAAAATTTGAAACTTGAAATGCTTACGCCTCGTTTAATGAGGGGTGAAACGCCTCATACTTTGCATTCATCTTTAAAGATTTTGTTTTGGACTAATTTTATCTAACCATGGTGTTATGAAACAAAGATGAGTATGCAATTAATTGCCCTGGCCTACCATTTATTGCAGTCCATTTTTAGTATTTAATGAACAGGATGCATTTGAATTGTGGTTTACCTGACAAACTTTTGCATTTGTTTACCTGAGATCAGCTATAATTGTTGTCATCTTTGTGTAATTTGTGTGTAAGTATTGTTTATATGATGTCAGATTCGTCCCTTGTTTGAGGAACATGGCCATGTTTTAGAGGTTGCATTAATCAAAGACAAGAGAACAGGGCAGCAACAAGGTATGTGCAACTACTATTTATTTTGGATTGATTTTTATTTACACCAATATCTTTTTTCAGGTTCTTTGAGGGGCTGATGGGGGCACCTGTAAGCTTATGTTTCGACTCAGTTATTTTTCCAACGATTTTCAACCTTTCTTTTATGTTTGCCCTGTCGACCAAGAGGAAGACAAGAAAAACCCTTTAAAAATTGGTTTATGTATAGCAGTTGGGAACTTGGAAGAGATAGATCTTGCTCTTGTGCTACTTGCTGCAGCAGTGGGGGCATTAAACTGCAAGTTAATTGTAATGAGAGTGTCTATTACCATAAATGTTGCTTCTTTTATGTCAAGATGTGTGGAAGTTAAATTGTTGTAGTACAACAAGTGACACAACAATACTTAGATTGTTGCAAATGAATGGGTATTAATGTCATTGTTGTGTGGAGAATTTCTATGGTTTCTTATTTTGATAACCTGGAATTCTTGATTTTGAATGGCTTGGCTTTTCCTTTTACCAATATTAGCTGTGACAAATTGGGACTGAGGTTGGTTTGCCAAATAGAGATGGTTGATGATAAATGTCATTTAGTTGCAACAATTTTGGTTCCTTGTCATTTGAATGCAACATTTTGAAGTATGGACCTCTTGTTAACAGGGCAATGGTATTTCATGGTCTTTCTTAAATTCAAGTGAAGTGGGCTGACTTAGTTCTTTTGCTTGTATATTATTTGAAGCTAGTATGCCATTGCTTTGTGAACTCTGGAAGGTGGTTTTCTTTATTCTTTATTCTTCTTGTTTTGGGAGCCTTGTGATTTCGCTCCTTGCAAGGCTTGAACACAGTCCAGACAATTATTGTGTGTTATGATATTGTGGATGTGGCCCAAGTTAATCCAATTTGGCTAGTGCATGATAATGAAGATGTTTTGTTCTTATTTGTAATTTCCCTTTGCAATTTCCTTTGTGTTTTGGTATGTAATCAGAACTCCAAGCTAACAACACTGCCACACTTTTTGAAATACCTTTATATAGATGTGAAGTGACTATCCCATCCTTTACTGAGTGAGTTTGAAACTTATGGGCTGTTTAAGAATCAATTGTTAATTATTGTAATTTGTGTTTGTGTAATTGACTGTATGTGGTTGTGGATGCCAAAGCTTTACCTTTTAACAGTTTGGTGTGGTGCTGTGGATTTTGCTATTTGTTATTTATTCTATCTGTGTTTGTCTGCAACACATCAAGTGAGGATGTTATCTTCCAGCATATTTATGACTTTTGCGGCTTGAGGGCTATCAATGTGAAGTTCATGTGTCTTGTCTGGTTAGTTGTATCATTGTATACTATGAAATTAGGAGCATCTGTCCTCTCGAAGCTTACTCTGTTTGTCTGAAATGATGCTAATATGTTCGCAATTGAATTTGAGTTGTTCAGGGATTTTGAGCTGCCAATTGGACGTGTTTCATTTTCATGGAAATGCTCTCATTCTCTCTCTGTCTGCCATTTTCTTTCTTTATAGTGGGTTGTCCTTGTCCATGTATGGCTCTGTACAAAATTAGTTGGAAGCTTGGAGGTTTTCAGTTTTCTGGAATATTGGTTGATGCATCCAGAAGTTTTTGTGCCGAGTTATACGTTGAACTTGGCACGCTTGTTGCACATGTTCTTTCGTTATAGATGTTATTGATCCCAAGATGGCTTTGATGGTATGGTAGTGATAGCACTATGTTGATGGAATAATGATGTATGTTGTGGTACAATGCTAGTGTGGATGAATGTTTATTCGTTTGGTTACTAGATCAAGTAAATCTTCTTCCACTTATTCTGCAAGAAAGTGGTGTATGCTTGTATTCTTCTGGGTGGTTGTATGTATGCCATTATTATTTGGTCAAAGGCAGAAAAAGGTTTTTTAGTTGGTTAGAAATAAAACTGCTGTCAAAGAGCATTGGAAGAATCAGAGAGGTACATTGTAATAGAAGTTTTCCAATATACAACTTTGAACGGCACGGTCAGCTGCATTTTTTCTCCTATGTTTTTCTCTAATTTTATTGACATTGGCTTATGGCCTGTGGGGTGGTATTGGAGCTGCTTTGTTATGTTCATGAACTCTTATGGTCAAACTGATGGCTTATTGACCTTATAGTTCATGTCATCAGATGCTTGGTGTGTATTTGTTAATTTCAAATGTAAATTATTGTTACAGAGATTTTTGCAATGAGTTTTGCCTCATAAAGTGGCTCATCAACTTGTTTAATGTTTACTTCCTGGAAGTTAATGCTCTTATTTGTTTACTGTAGCTGGTGTATCATACATATTTGTTCCAATGGCTCATCATTGTTATTGCTTTTGTGTATATGGATAGCTGGATGCAAGTTGATTTTGACTCCTTTGATGCATCCTTGACTAGTTCAACACTTTTCCTTCTAGCTATTGAATCACTTAGATTCTGCATATCAGTTGATGCATATATTTGTCAGATTTCATTATGTTCTCCTTCTATGGTTGAGTTCATTAAATAAATGGAGGAAAAGAATGAGATAACAATTAGACAAGTGAATCAGGTGGTGCAGACTTAATAGCCATTCATCTGTTTATTCTGAATGGGAATCAATTTTGGATGACTACTGTGGTGAATGCAATGGGGCTTGATATTCTTTTCCTAGTTTTTTTTTTTTTGGAGCAGAATGGAGAAAAAGGATTCACATAGCCTGCCCTACTTGATTGGGACAAAGCTTATTTTGGTTTGGTTATTATTTTTTAATGCATTTTTTTGTGCCCGTTAATATTCGAGTAATTTTCAACATGGTTCTATTTTTAGAGTGACTAAATTTTATCCTGAAGATGATGGTCTATGTGTTGGCTTCCTCTGGATGTTTTGATTTTTAATTTCCTGACAATTATATATAAACTAATTTCTCCTTTTTAAAGGTGTATTGGATGTTGGAATTTGTGTGGGTGCATTTGTTCTCTCTGTACAATTCATGCCTGTTCTTTTATTCTAGTAGTCGAGAAAATTCACTCAAATCACCCAAATCCTACTCAACCAATCCCACTCAAATCGCCACTGTTATTAATTTGAGAAGCCTGAAGTGAACTTTTTTGTTGATTATAGTTAACACCATATTTAAATTTGTTGGCACCTATTGTTTTGACGAATATATACACAATGTGTAGCTCTTGCAAGTTAATTTTGGTTGTTGTTTATGTCTGTCCAAAAGTTTTGGTGTGTTTTGTTTTCAAAAAAAAAAAAACGATATATATCTTATTTAATGATAGCAACACGGCGCTGCTGTTTTCGAACAACTTGACTTGATATGTCTTGGATTTGTGAATTTGGATGTGTAATCCTTGATGTAGTATTAGTATTACTTTTCTTGATGTTTACTGTTCAATAATTTTTATGTATCTTTTTATCACATAAGCATAGTCAACTGGTACGTGCGTTTGCATCTACCTGTCTGTCACTAGAAAAGGTAGAAGTAAATGAAATCAGGATACAAACTTTTTACTTCTGCAGGATGTTGTTTTGTAAAATACACTACTTCTGAAGAAGCTGACAGGGCAATGAGTGCTTTACACAACCAACACACCTTGCCTGGGGTGAGGTCTTTTGCTGCTATGCATGTTCTGTCAAGTGAGTTGACTAGCTTTTGTTTAATAGTTTGATCATTCTTGTGTTTTTCAGGGAGTGGGTCCTATCCAAGTAAGATATGCTGATGGGGAAAGGGAACGTCTGGGTAATATATTATGACTTTCTGTATCTTTTGCTAATGATACCTTCTTTCCCCAGTATGTTTACATACTTATAGTTTTGAGTGTTTTTTTCTCCTTATTTTTTACTTGAAGGTATATCAAGTTTTTCATCAAACATATATGTTATTTGAACTATGGCATATCATACCTTATCCAAGCAATATATGCTGATGGGGAAACAGAACGTCTTTGTAAAACCTTCTTTCCCCAAGTATGTTTACATATTTGTAATTTGAGAGTGAATTTTCTTTCTCTTTTATTTTCCAGGTAGATGTATCAAGTTTTTCTGTGTCAAACATATGTATTAATTGAACTGTAGCATATCATACCTTTGTAAGTTTTCCTGTCAATTATTTAGTTGGAGTTGCTTTAAAGGATGTTCAGCTAGTGCATGAGGAATTATTATATTTAATTATTTCTCCACTAGGAATTTTTATAGTAGTGTTTAATTTGAATATTGTCTCTTTGAATGACCTATCGCGAAAGTTGGGCGTTCAAAGCGAAGCTATGAGAAGACATGCTTAGAAGGTCATAACTTTTTTTTTTTTTTTTTGATCAGCAACAAACAAAGATTTATTAAGGCTCAAGGCCAAGAAAAAAGAGGATAAGATATCCTCTTACAGTAGAAATGGAAAAACCAAAAAGAGAAAAAGAAAATACAAAAATACCAAACTTGAAAACTTCTACATAGAACAAACTGACACCCAATCTGAAGCAAGCAAAAAAAGCGGAATCCCCCGGAATATTGTGCTCGCCGAGGCCCAAAAAGATGCCAAGTATCTCACCCTATCCCATAAGTAATCTATATCCCGGGCCACTCCTTCGAAAATCCGAGCATTTCTTTCCAACCAAACAACTCAGAAAATTGCAAAGACTACACCACTCCACAGTATTTTAGCTCTCTTCGATCTTTCAAAAACATGAAAATCAAATAATAACATTTGAGCACATCCTTTTGGGGCCACCCACATCACACTACCCAATCCAAACACCCTAAGTGTTAAAATCCACCTATTCTCCACCTACTTCACCCACTTAAACCTACTCCACTAAACCTAACCCACTACACCACTACCACCTCACCTACTCCACTAAACCTAACCCACTACACCACTACCACCTCCACTTCACCTACTCCTTACCTACTACACACTCACCCTCTTCTATATATAGGAATCATGAATCATTGTAATAGAGATCAACAAATCAATCAATAATATACATCAATATATTTTACATGGTATCAGAGCCAGGTTAAGCACTTAGTATTTTTCGCTTCACCGGCGGGCGGCAACCTCGCCTTGGCCGTCCGCCGGACCGCAACCTAATCCGCTAGAATTTTCTACACATACCTTGAAATTTATTCGAGTCCACCACCACTGCCCCTCCTCTCACTGTTGTCCTCCCATACACCACCGTCTCGGTCGTCTTCATCTACCACCACTGTTAACCTTAACCTGTGAGACCCCAGCTTCCAGATCCAACTCTACCGAACACTCCAACGCAGAGGATTCCTTCCTCACACCCACCATCTCAGCACCAGAGAGGCTTGACGACGCGCCGGCGGTGGAGCTAAGATCGTCACTTCCTCCGTCACTCGAGGTGGCGCCACCAGCACCACCGGCGTCTTCCAAATCAACATGGGACTTGTCTACAGTTTCCATTTGCAAGACCCAGAGACAGATTCCTCATGTAAAGGCAATGCGACACTGAGATCATTAATACCCCCACAAAATATTGAAGGTTTTTGAGGGCTCTTCAACCTCTGAAAATGGAGGAAAGAGAAATCACAGTAACCCCCCTCTTTCTCTCTCTCTATGTGCCTGAGACTATCCTAAGAACAAGTGGTGTCCATCTCTCTCTCTCTCCTCCCTTTTCTTTTTTAATCACACCCTACCAAACGAATCTCCAGGCCATTCTCCAAGTGGTCTAACTTTTTATTTTTTTATTACTATTATTATTATATCAAATAATCAATACACCCTACTTTACCTTTATTTATTTTATTTTATCTTTTCTTTTTCATTTCCAACAAAAAAAAAAAAATATATATATATATATATATACACCCACGTGAACCAATCTCTTAATCTCCTCTGTTTGATTTCAAAACCCCTTTTTAATCTCTTTCTTTTTTTTATTTCTCTTAAAACAAAAAAAAAAAAAAAAAAAAATAGGACGAACTGCACACCAAACTCATTTTATTCATGTCAGGGATCCACCCCGATCCCACTTTTACACAAACAAAAAAAAAAAAAAAAAAAAAAAACAAACAAAAAAACACATCCACAGGCGGGATTTTTTTTCTTATCTACTCTGCCGCCGGTCTCTTCTTTTTGCCTCCA